TATTGATCAAGGGATCTGTACAACAGAAAGAACTTACAATACTAAGTGTATATGCACCTAATGAGGGACCAGCAAAGTACTTAAAACTACTCATAGACTTAAATTACTTAAGCAAAGTACTTAAAACAACTTAAGCAACTTAAGCAAAGTACTTAAAACAACTATTCGTGACTTAAAACAACTATTCATAGAGAAAGACATCGATAGCAACAAAATACTAGTAGGAGACTTCAACACCACTTTATCACCTCTTGATAGATCAACCAGACTCAAGCTTAGCAAGGACATACTTCATCTGAGGGAAACAATGGAAGAAAGGGACTTAGTAGATATATACAGGACACATCATCCTCAAAAAGCTGAATACACATTCTTCTGAAGTGTGCAAGGAACACTCTCCAAGATAGAGCACATGCTGAGCCATAAAACACACCTCCATAAAATTAAGAAGATAGAGACTGTATCAACAATCTTCTCAGACCACAATGTGCTGAAATTAGAAGTAAATCACACACACATACAGAAAACTAAATCAAACACCTTGAAATTAAACAGCTCACTATTGGAGAATGAGTGACTTAGAAAAGAAATCAAAGAGGAAATCAAAAGATTCCTGGAAATGAACAAAAATGAGGACATGAGTTACCAAATCTTATGGGACACAGCAAAAGCTGTGTTAAGAGGAAAGTTTATAGCTCTACAAGCATTCCTCAGGAAGGAGGAGTGAGCCCACATAAGTAACCTAACCTCACAGCTTAAGAGCTTGGAGAAGGACCAACAAAAGGAGCCCAATCCAAACAAGAGGAAGGAAATAATAAAACTCAGAGCAGATTAATAAGATGGAAACCCAAAAAAACAATCCAAAAGATCAATGAAACCAAGAGCTGGTTCTTCGAGAAAATAAATAAGATCGATAAGCCTCTAGCAAAACTCACAAAGAAAGAGAGAAAACTCTCATAAACCAAATCAGAAATGAAAAGGAGTCATTACAACAGAAACTACAGAAATTCAAAGGATACTTAGGGAGTACTTCGAGAAGCTTTATGCCACGAAATATGAAAACCTCAAGGAAATGGATAAATTCCTAGATCCCTATAGCCTTCCAAGGCTGAACCAAGAAGACCTGGAATACCTGAACAGACCTATAACCATCAAGGAAATTGAAACGGTAATAAAAAGTCTCCCCAAGCACAAAAGTCCTGGCCCAGATGGATTCACTAGTGAATTCTTCCAAATTTTTAAAGAGGACTTACTCCCAATCTTCTTTAAGCTTTTCCAAGAAATTGAAGTATCAAAAACACGTCCAGTTTCTATGAAGCAAATATCACTCTGATACCAAAAGCAGACAGAGATACCACAAAGAAAGAGAATTACAGGCCGATATCCCTGATGAACACAGATACAAAGATCCTCAACAAACTATTAGCAAATAGAATCCAATGACTCATTAAAAAGATCATACACCATGACCAAGCAGGATTCATCCCAGGGATGCAAGGAAGGCTTAACATTCGGAAATCGATCAACATAATCCATCATATCAACAAAAGAAAAGATTAAAAAACCAAATGATCATATCAATAGATGCAGAGAAAGCATTTGACAAGATCCAGCACCTGTTTATGATAAAAACCCTCAGCAAAATAGGCATTTAAGGAACTTTCCTCTATATAGTCAAAGCCATCTACCAAAAGCCCATGGCAAGTATCATTCTCAATGGGGAAAAACTAAAAGCCTTCCCTCTAAGATCAGGCACAAGACAAGGTTGGCCACTTTCGCCACTCCTATTCAATATAGTGGAAGTCCTGGCCATTGCAGTTAGGCAAGAGAAAGGTATCAAGGGAATACAGAGGGGAAAGGAAGAGGTCAAACTATCACTATTTGCCAACGATATGATACTATACTTAGAAAACCCTGAAGATTCTACAGAAAAGCTCCTAGAAACAATAGGTCGGTTTAGTCAAGTGGCATGCTACAAAATCAGCACCCAAAAGTCCATGGCTTTCTTATATACAAATAACGAAAGAGAGGAAAGAGACATTTAAAAAAAAAATCCCATTCACAATAGTACCTCAGAAAATCAAGTACCTCGCAATCAGCTTAACCAAAGAGGTGAAGAACCCGTACAAGTAAAATTACAAAACACTACTTCAAGAAATAAAAGAGGACACTAGGAAATGAAGAAACATCCCCTGCTCCTGGATAGGGAGGATTAACATTATCAAAATGGCAATACTGCCCAAAGCACTATACAAATTCAATGCGGTCCCTATCAGGATACCCATGACATTTTTCAAAGAAATAAGACAAAACACTCCATAAATTCATATGGAACAATAAAGCCCCACGAGTAGCTAAAACAGTACTTGGAAAAAAGAAGATGGGTGGCATCACCCTCCCCACCTTCAAACTGTACTACAAGCCAGTAGTAATTAAGACAGCATGGTACTGGGCTAGAAAAAGACCTGCAGACCAATGGAACAGAGTTGAATATTCTGTCACAGACCTCCAAATATATGACCACTTAATCTTTGACAATGGGGCAAGAAATGTGAAGTGGAACAAGGAAAACCTCTTCAACAAGTGGTGCTGGGAAAACTGGATAGCTACCTGCAAAAAAATTAACACTGACCTCTGTCTAATGCCAGGCACAAAAGTCAGATCAAAGTGGATTGAAGACCTCAATATCAGATATGAATCCATAAGGTACATAGAGGAAAATGTAGGCAGAACTCGCCATGAAATTGAAGCTAAAAACATCTTTAAGGATGAAACAGTACTGACCATGCAAGTGGAAGCAAACATAAACAAATGGGACTACATCAAACTAAGAAGCTTCTGCACTTCAAAAGAAACAGTGACCAAAACACAGAAAGAGCCCACAGAAGGGGAAAGAATATTTACCCAATACCCATCTGATAAGGGATTAATATCTAGGATATACAAGACATCAGTAGAATTGTACATGAAAAAAACCTCCAACCCCATCCAAAAATGGGGAGGAAAAAATGAACAGAAGTTTCCTCAAAAAAGAAATACAAATGGCCAAATGGCACATGAAAAAATGCTCCACATCACTAGCCATCAGGGATATGCAAATCAAAACAACAATGAGACATCATCTCACACCACAGTGACTGGCACACATTCAAAAGAACATAAGCAACCAGTGCCAGTGTGGATGTGGGGAAAAAGGAATCCTCTTTCACTGTTGGTGGGAATGCCCACTAGTCCAGCCTTTCTGGAAAACAACATGGACAGTCCTTCAAAAACTAGAAATTTAGCTTCCATATGACCCCACAATACCACTTCTGGGAATATATTCTGAGGATGCAAAAAAGCACAGTAGAAATGACATCTGTACCTATACGTTCGCTGTAGCACTGTTCACAATAGCCAAAATCTGGCAACAACCCAAGTGCCCTAGAACAGATGACTGGTTAAAGAAACTTTGGTACATCTACACAATGGAATATTATGCAGCTGTCAGGAGAGATGAAGTCATGAACTTTGCTTATAAATGGATAGACATGGAAAGTATCATGCTAAGTGAAATGAGTCAGAAAAAAAAAGACAGATATAGAAGGACTGCACTCATTTGTGGAGTATAAAACAATATAACATGAGGCTGACACCTAAGGATAGTAGATACATGGGACAGATAGATTGTTCCATAGCTGGACCTGCCTCATGAGCAAAAGGGAGAAGGCAGCTGGAATAGAGAAGGGATCCCTAAGTAAAAGATGGCTGGAGGAATCGGTCGGGATGGGAGATGAGTGCAGAAAGTAGATAAAGGACCAAAGATGATAAACTCTCAGGGTCTGTATTGCAAACCATAATGCCCAAAAGTAGAGAGAGATTATGGGGAATCATGTCTGCCATGGAAGCAGGGGGAGGGTGGGAAAGGGATATTTGCGGTGGGTAATATGCACTGGTGGAGGGATGGGTGTTTGATCATTGTGTGATTGCAACCCAGACGTGAAAGCTTGTAACTATCTCACGGTGATTCAATAAAATTTAAAAAATATATATTAGGTCCATTAAAGACCATGCTGCTGCTTTGAGCAATGTGAATTTCTTGATGAAGCTCAAAACTAGCAGACTAGCTTCTAAATTCCTGAGACAGCTCCTCTGGCTCCCCTTTGAAAAAGACACAACTAACAAAACAAGCGAGTCAAGTGAAAAGCTAACTGCCACCCAAACTCTCTAAAGTGGAATGACAACAAGTTAAAAATAATATAAACTGAAGAAATTCTAGAGTATTAAGTCCACCTTTAAAACACGCTCCAGTGTTTTAAGGTCATACCATCTAACTTTAGGGAAAATTCTCATTAAATATAAAGTGTAAGGGCCTAAACTAATGATCTGTTGGATCACAATTTAACAGAACTACTTCTATTGTTAAGGTTACTTCAATGTTAAGGACATGAAAGGCCTATCTTTTCAATGAAAAATATTCTTCACAAAGAGAACCAGTGGGAAGACTTTTATAAAAGTTTCTGAACAGGTCAGAAGATAATCAGCCAAAGAGTTGTGCAAACTATTTGACTGATATCTGATTCTTAAGTGAGAAAATCCCTGGGTAATATTAAAGATTTTATATTTTTCTGAAAGTCTCTTCTTGGTGATGGGTTGATAAAACCAGGTCAGATGTATTTTTCCAAGTCAAAAACCCAACCAAAGAGAGCCAAGACAGGAAAGAACTAAACATTTAAAAGAAATAGCTGGGAAGCTCAGATCCACTACTTACAAACCTTAACAGATATATTATACTTTGAAAATTCACATGAATCTAGGAAATCTAGCATTACTTTGTTTTGTGTCAAAAAGAACTTAATGGTGTTTATATGCACATTTACAATGCAAATTTAGGGCTAAATTTAGACTTTAAAAAATAAAATGAAGCTAGGAATATAAATATTGTGGAAATGTGTACATCCAAAGAAATATTTAAAGATTTAAATTAACACTACAAATAAAAAAAGAGTTTCGCCACTCACCAATTTTAACCTCTGTAAAGGTATTCTGTCTACATCTATCTGCGATCTTTCTGGGACATTAGTGAATCGAACTTCGGGAACTGCAACTGCACACATGACATGAGCCCACCTGCAGAAAAGGAAACATTAGACGAAAGTTCCCTAAACTTGCATACCTTCATTCTTCAGTTTGGGAGTGCCAACTCTCACAGATGGAAAGAACCAACAGGATGAAAACAAAAGTCTAACTCCATCACAGATTCTGAATTTGAAACTTATTAACAGATACCTGGATATAGTCAGAATTGCACTTGTCTATCACAGTGACAGAAAGAATCAGGTGTTGATCAAAGATTCACTCTAAGCAAAATACATGTATCTTAACTTTATTCAATCTGCAAAATACTGAGATGTACACTATTTCATCTGATATTGAAATATAAGGATATTTAATAGACCTTAGTCAACCAATACAAGGAAAAAAGATTAATTCAAATAATAAAAGGCATAAGCTGGGAAATACTATTTAATCGATTTCTTAATATAAATGTCACAAAGCAAATGCATTATTTTACATAATACAAATGTCACTGAACATGATACAAATAAGTTTTCTAAAAAAACAAAATGACTACTGAGTCTTTAAACTGTTTCTCCTACAATCGTAATATGATCAAAGTAACCAAGAGATACAGAGGAGTGAAAATTGATGTGTCCCTTGTTTCCTACTTAAAACCTAGCTTTTCTTTCATATTCTGAAGTGCACAAAAACGATGACAACTACGCCAGGGTAAGTTTCTTGTAAGAGCTAAGCCCAAAACACATTCATTGTTGATTTTTAAAGAGAATTTGAGGAACTATCAATTCATCCATCTACTTTTAAACCAGAGCATATTTATTATCCTCAAACAACATCAGGATGCTTTTGCAGACCACAGGAAGATACTACGAAGCCCACCAGGGCTCTTTCAGATCTAAGTAAGTACTTTAGCTCTATAAGAATTACTTTTACACTTTTTAAAAAATTCCTAGCCCAAAGGTAGAAAAAGTTCTTAGCTTTGTCTTCACTGGAGCAGCTTAAAGCATCTCACAGTTTGCATGACCCATGCTAATATCCTATGACTAGTCAACACTATTTGGTGTAGTAGCAAATCAATTAAAACTCAAAGATACAGATCCCAAATTAAGCAAAAATGCAGTCTCTTCGACTAAACTTCATGTAAGAATGATACATGCCTTTACTCTTCCTTCAAAGCAGTCATGAGCATCTGCATATAAATGTATATGCTGATTCAATTGTTACTTCATATCAGGGGGCCTGACTCCACCAATGGGGACAAGCAGGATGTAAATAAATATATCAATAGTCTATGACCTGGGAAGCAACTGTTCCATTTCAGTCAGGTCCCATTCCACCTTGTTATTGCTACAAACTCATGCACAATCATTTTCCAAGTAAAGACTAAAGTATGGATTTTTCTGCAAAATCTTTCTATTTAAAATTTGGGTCAGGTATGACAATAATAGCTGGAATGATCACTCTGGATAAGATCTAAGGGTTAAAGGTAGGTAAGGGATATTTTTGATAACCTTTCTGTATCAATATCGCAAACCACAATGTCCAAAAGGTCCAAAAGGAGAGAGAGAGAGAGAGAGAGAGAGAGAGAGAGAGAGAGAGAGAAGCACCTGCCATAGAGGCAGGCATAGAGTGGGGGAGGTGGAGGTATGGTAGGAGGGAACCTGGGGACACTGGTGCTGGGAAACGTACACTGATGGAGGGGTGGGTGTTGGAATGCTATGACTAAAATCTAATCATGAGCAGCTTTGTAATGGTCTATCTCACAGTGATTCAATTAAAAAGTTCACTATCACTATCACTCCAGTTCATCAATTTGCTCGAACGGGTGCCAGTAACGTCTCCATTTGTTCCTGTCACATGCTAGTGTAGCCCAATGGTATATTGGGGATTCTTTCAGGGTCAGGGGAATGTGGGCCATCATTGTTACTGTTTTTGGCATATTGAGCACACCACAAGTAACTTGCCAGGCTCTGCCATGCGGGCAGGATATTCTCAGTAGCTTCCCTGGCTCTCCAAGAGGGATGGAGGCTTTGGGGACAGCCTCTAATCACCTTTTACAGGTGTTCCCAGTCAAGCATATATGCAGGTAAGATACCCTCGGTACTCTGCCCGGTTATCTGAGAGTGAGAACTAGACAATAAGAGGTCACGCGGCCACATTTGTGGCCGCATGCTTCCGGGAGCTTGGTTTTATAGTCTCTGGGTCTTGGCTGTTGATGAGGTTACACGGCAGTTGGTGGGTGTAACTGTCTAGCTACTGGAAGATGGGGGATCTGGGTGGAGGAGGCCCAGTCCTGATCCAAGCAGGCTTGGAGATCTCAGCACCGGGTCTGTACACCTGGGTTCCTCTGCCAGTTCCTTCATGTGTGAGGCTCATCCTAGCATGTGGAGAGTGGTCTCAGTATGGCTGTGACTGGGTCCTGGAGGTCTTCAGCTGCTGGGGCTCTGCTCAGGGTGGAAAGGGAAACTCACCCCGCCCTCCTCTAGGGGACCCCGATGAGGACATTTAATTTTAATTAAAAAGTTAAAAATAATAATAAATTTTTTTAAAAAGTCACCAAAAAAATAAAATAAAAATTTGGGTCAAGTTGATTAGTACATCAGTCACAGGACTGGATCTGGCCTGTAAGTACCAGCATGCATGTCTAACTAAATTTATCTACATTCTATTTTCAACAGAATCTACAATTTAATTTGGCCCCATCTTAAATATTACAATGAGGTCATATTCATAAAATTCATGCAAAAACATTTCAACAACAGCCATAAAAAAACAAATGACCTTCCCACCTGGCCGAGACCACGAGTTGCCCCCTACAAGCGGCTCTCTGGAATGGCCATGGCCCCAGAGGCACTCGGACCTAATTTGGAACCCAGCAGCTTTTGTCAGAAATGTGAATGGACTATGCATTAAGCTAATCAGCAATAGAAAATAAATTATTTCACAATGCCTTTTCAGCAGGTCTGATTGTTGGGGAGAAATTCCAAATAATAATGGTGTATCTTTTGTCGCAATAATGAATTTAATCAAAGTAGAGAGAGAGTTAAGTGGACATCATCTGCCTCACAGGCATGGGGAGGGGCAGATGGGGGCTATACTGGGGTTCTTGGTGGTGGAAAATACGCACTGGTGAAGGGATGGGTGTTTGAATTGTATCTACATTCTATTTTCAACCGAGACTTAAACCTTTGTAACTGTTCTCATGGTGATTCAATAAATAAGTTTTTTTAAAAAATGAACCAACTTTTATGTTTTCTCACTAATCTTCCTTTCAAGAATCTTCATAGTCTCTGCCCGCTTAAAACCAATGTTTTCTTTCTATTTTTCTCTTTTAGAACAAATGCTTTCTTGCTAGTTTGATATTGTAAGAGTTTGGTTTGATTTGGTTTTATATCATGATTTAAATTTATCTAAAGATAACAGGGTTCAATGTTTTCAGGCATATTCTGGTTATATGAGACTAATGAACTCCAACTGGACTTTCATCTTAAAGACAAAAAAAATTTTTTTAAATGATAGCCAAAATGGGGTTATTTCTCATGACATCAAAGACACTGAGCATAAACCCTCAGAACACCTTCTTCAAGCAAAGATGTGGTAGAGCTGTTGGTAATGGTCTCTACACATATGCCCAGAATCTGTAGCTCAGACTTCCACAGCAAAGGCTCAAGAGCAAAGTGCATGATGACGATGAGAAGCAAACTGTCCCCCAGAGGTTTCACACTCCAGACAAAGGCAAAACCGGGAAATCCAACATAATTAATACTTCACTTACTTATTGTTCTTAGTTTGCTTGAGAGCACCCCCTCTCAAATTGCAGAGACAGCATTCCTAGAGAAGGAAAAAAAATCATTCAATTATCAGACTGCATTCAGCTGTTTGCATAAAGTCTAAGTTTTAATTTTCAAAACCACCAGGAATTTCATGAGCAAGTGAGCAGTTCAAGAAGGAAAAGGTATTGAGGGAGGTAGGAAAGCAGAGGGCACACTGTGAAATGGTATCAGTGTGTACCAACACACACACACACACACACACACACACAACACAACCACCACCCACACACCTCCCAGACACACAAACACCTTCCTGAGGGAACCATCCTCCAGTGGTATGTTACTCAGTTTCCCTCTCTGAGGGAAAGTTGTGCCACAGAGAACTAGGTAACCTGGGGAGGGGTATAGTAGAGTGCTACAACGATCAAGGAGTGACTGAGTTCTCGTGTGGCCTAGGAATCTACTCTCTTATACAGGAAGGCGTGTAAAAGGTGGGAACTAGTAGTAGGCTTCCGTTTGGTAAACAGTAGAAAAGAAGCTCTCCTGAGAACTCTTTTCAGAAAAGTATCATTTGGGTCTTTAATCAGTTGGGCAAATAGTATTGGAAAAGTTGTTCTGACGAGGGAAACTCCTTCACTGCTGGTGGGAATGTCGACTGGTTCAGCCCTTTTGGAAAACAGTATGGACGATTCTCCAAATATTAGAAATTGAGCTCCCATTTGACCCAGCAATACCACTCCTGGGAATATATTCCAGAGAGGCAAAAATGTATAGTCGAAGTGACATCTGCACTTGTGTGTTCATTGCAGCACTCTTTACAATAGCCAGAATCCGGAAAAAACCTGAGTGCCCGAGAACAGATGACTGGTTAAAGAAACTTTGGTACATCTACACAATGGAGTACTATGTAGCTGTTAGAAAAGATGAAGTCATGAAATTTTACATACAAGTGGTACTACATGGAAAGTATCATGCTAAGCGAAATGAGTCAGAAAGAAAGGGATAGACATAGAAAGATTGCATTCATCTGGGGGATATAAAGTAACAAAATAGGAGATTACTACCCAAGAATAGCAGTACCAGGAGGATTATTACATGGCTTAGAGAGCAGCCGGGCATGCTAGGGGCAAGGGCAGCTCAAATAGAGAAGGGAACACCAAATAAAGGGTGTTTGAAGAATGCTCCCAGGAGGGGAGATGCATGTTGAAAGTAGACTATGGACTGAATATGATTGCCACTCAATGCCTCTTCTGCAAACCACAGCACCCAAAAGGAGAGAGAGAACAAGAGGGAATGCCCTGCCACAGAGGCAGGGTGGGATGGGGGGATGGGGGTGGGAGGGATACTGGGATCCATAGTGGTGGAAAATGGGCACTGGTGGAGGGATGGGTATTTGATCATTGTATAATCGAAACCCAAGCACAAAAATTTGTAAATCTACAACTGGTATTTCACTAATAAAAATTTTTTAAAAAAAGAATAGAAGAAATTATGCAAAGGTAACATTACTATTCTCATTACTAAAGTTGTTAAATTAAAATAGCTATCTTTGTTTAAAAAAAAAAAAAGTTGTTCTGACAAACGCAGATGATCAAGGCCCAGGAAAAAACAGACAAATGCCATGAAGCATCTTTCTTTTTTCCTGCTCCACAAAAATTAAAATTTTTAGCTTTTATGTTTTGACATAGATATTTGCACTCTATAATGATTTCCTTAACTATAGTTTTTATTCATCAGCTCTCAATAATAATCCTATGAAAAAATAGCATAAGGTGAAGAAAGCAATACTATGCCTTCCGCTGACCTAGAATTTTAAAAATTTTACTAAAGTAACTTTGTTTTGGGCCACATTGGTGGTGCTTAGGATTTACTCCTGATCTGAGCTCAAGGATCATTCCTAGCATTGCCCGGGGGACCACACAGGGTGCCAGTCACAGAACTTGAGTCAGGCGCATGCAAGGCAAGCACCTTACCTGCTATACCATTTCTCCAGCCCTAAAGTACTTTTTATTTTCCACCTCTAGTTTGTCTTCCAAATTTACCACATTAATAGTTTTTTTTTCAGTTTTGAGGTCACATTTTGCAGTACTGGGGAGGGTGCCTACTCCTGGGTTAGTCCTTGATGGTTGGGGGGGGGGGGGGTCACTTCCTGCAGAGATCAGCGAACCATGAGGAACAGGATCAAACCTGAAGTCCCTGCCATGCAAAGCACGCAGCACTCCAATCCTTTAAGCCATTTCCCCCAGCCCTAGACTTTGCTTCATAATTGTAGGTTATTTGGGATTATGGGCAATTTTGTGAATTTGTGATCTTTTCTTCTTCCAAGTATAATATATGAAATACATACATAATAGATATTTTATATATGTTATTCTCCAAGATGGTCTTATTTAACCAATTTTAATAGTTTTTCCCAGTTTACAAGAAATCCCTCTAACGTAACTTCTACTAATAACAAGGTATCAGCTTTATAATGTTTATTTTACCAAGGAAAATGATACCAAAGTACTAATGAGACTATCTATATATACAGAGCTCTTACCAAGAAGCAAAAGAGGCCAAGAACCAAAAATGTAATGGTATGCTGTCTCTGGGAAGCTACTGCACATCTATTTAAAATATTCATGGAATTAAAGTTCCCCTGCAAATATACACTTGAATGCTTTATAAATCAAGCTCAAACAACCATTCTGTGTAGAATTTTCTCTATCCAGACCATAAAGCCATAACATAGAGGGCTGTGAAATAACTGTTCTCAATAAAGCACACAATGAAAGGGAAATTTCACAATCAAAATAGTGAGGATGAGTATGAATAATCCAATCATTCAGATAATTCAAATGATTCTATAGTGTTGAAATTATTCCATAGAAATTCCGTAAAGCTTTATTGATGTCAAGTATTCTTCCAGTGATTGAATACTTTCTACAGAGAAAAAATATATATCTATATATACAAATGAAACAAAATATGAGGCCCCATGTTTTATTGTCTATCAAACAACGTCAGTTTGTACTGATGTGTGGATGCAATACTGACAAGCTGTGGCCGGTGAGGATCTCAGACACTAAGAGAATTACATGTCTGATTAATGAAACTAGTGTAAGAAGAAGCCTAGAGGGACAAGTTAGCAGAGTTAAATACAGCAAAGCAGCATGGAACTGCTTTAAAGCAGCTGATTAGGATCATTAAAAGGTACACATGTTCCAGAGAACTACTACAAATGAAGGAGAAAGTTCTCTAATGCAGGCTATGCTGACTCAAGAGTTTCTAATTCAGAATATTCTCACCTACCGTAATAAGAAACTTTTTATTTTGCATCACCTGTGAGCTCCAAGACATGAAATCTTATGAACAATTCCAAGTGCTTGGTCTACCTGACCCCTAGACAGCAGCCAACATGGTTGACCATGTGGTTTCTATGACACCGTGCTCTCCTCAGTTAGTTAATCCTAGGTTTGTTTTAACAAGCATCTCTTTCGTGTTCCTGAAACACTAAAGACTGTCATTTCCTTAACAGAACTCAACATTCACTTTCCTCTGCACGTGTGCTCTCAGGGTACCTGGATCATGACCCAACTGCTGAAAGGCCACACTGCACTCATGAAATGTCTGATTGACAGCTCCATAGATATTGCAAACTGAATTCACACCTCTGTGAGTCTGTACTCCTCCACACTGTCTCCCAGCCATTCATTCTAACTTATGCAAGACCTATTTTTCTTCTCACTGAGATCCAAGCAATTCAGTTCCTTCATTCCTGCCTTCAAACCCACCTTCTCTCTGTCAGCATAGCTGTCTCCTGCATATCACCAACATCCTTCTCCAGACCTAAGCAACAACAACACTCTTTAGCCAATGTGGAACCTACTAGCCTGAGTTTAAATGCCTCTCAGTGTTTGATATAGCACAGAAGATGAAGACTTCAGTCTTGTTTGGCCTCACCTTAGTCATCTCCATTCTTAAACACTCGGGGACCAATAATTAGGCTCCCTCTGCCTTCAAACACATCAGACACACTCCATTCTTCATTAAATTAAACACAACTCTACCTCCATGTTTACTCTTTGAAGAAGGCTGTTCTAATCCCAAATCACTTACTTTTCACTCATTACCCTTACTAGCTGTTGCATTTTCTCCTCCTGTCCTCACTAATCTATAAGCTCAATGAGTACTGTGAGAATGTCAGGTGGTTCACTTTTTTTCTCATTTATAACATCCAATCAAGTACACTCTCCATATGAAACTGTTCAATAAGTGAGAAAATATGGTAAAATAGGCCACAGTAAAATTCTGTTGCTTTTTTTGTCTTTTGGGGTCACACCTGGTAATGCTCAGATGTTATTCCTGGCTCTGTACTCGGGAATTACTCCTGGCGATGCTTGGAGGACCATATGGGATGCCGGGGTTGAATATAATTTGGCTGTGTGCAAGGCAAACACTGTACCTGCTGTACTATCACTCTGGTCCCAGAAATTCGGAAAAGTAATGAAGGATTAAAAAATTGCGAATACCATTTTTTTGGTTGTTATTTTTGCTTTGGGGCCATATATGTGATACTTAGAGTTTGATCCTGGCTCAACACGCAGGAATTCTTCCTGGCAGATCTGGGGGGATCATATGGAATGCCGGGGATCAAAGCTGTATCAGTCACCTGCAAGGCAAGCACCCTAGCTGCTGTACTATCACTCCAGCCCCCATAAAGACCATTTTAATATAATGGGACATTAAGGAAAGGAAGCTTTAGACCAATAAATTTAACAGAGAATTAAGAAATAATCTATACTGAGTTATAACTGATTTTAGTTTTAAATGAATCACCGTAAGGTACAGTCACAGACTTACAAATTATAACTGATTTACTCAAGAAATTTTATTCTTAGTAAAAGACAAAAATCTATGGCCTAGTAAAGGTATTTCTAAACTATTACATAATATTATATTATATAGTAAATTGAGATCAAAAATAAATCATTCTGAAATTAGAGAGATAGTATAAGAAGTAAGGAACTTGCCTGGCATTTGACTGTTTTGACTAACAGGGGTTAGATTCCTGGC